ACACACACAAAAGATACACACATATATATATATATATATATATATATATATATATATATATATATATATATATATGAATAGATTGAGGAAGATATAAATTGAACATATATAGATAGATACAAATTGATATATGTATATATATATATATAAATTTTATCTTTCTATATATCTATCCATGTCAATTTATATCTGCCTCATTCTATATCTATATATATATATATATATATATATATATATATATATATATATATATATATATATAAAATAGAAAAATAAATAAAATCCTAATATGCAATTATGCTGTATTAATGTTAATATAAAGTCAATAAATATACAGTATAATTGCATATTAAGATTTTTGTTTGTTTTTTCTGTATATTTTTTCTTCATAATGTCGGATCTATATCCATATATTTGCTTATATATATATATATATATATATATATATATATATATATATATACCATCATTATCATTATGAACATTCGGATTAATATTCCCATTTTTGTTTTTATTTTTTATACGTTGAAGTCAATACCCAGCCGTGACAGTGTGCTTCATGCTTAAGTACAATTTACAGGCCTGAAGACTGCGTTTAAGCATGAAACAGACTCTTGCCGCAGGTGCTGGCTTCAGCGTACACTTTTATATTTATATACGCTCTATACATGATACTGTGAACTTTAACCCACAAAAACACACCATATATATATATATATATATATATATATATATATATATATATATATATATATATATATATATATATTCACTTCAAAATAACTTAAGAGTTTACCCGATAAATTCACTTCGGAATAACTTGTCAGTTACTCGATATATATATATATATATATATATATATATATATATATATATATTTAATATATATATATATAATATATATATATATATATATATATATATATATATATTCAACATTTTCTCTCTCTCTCTCTCTCTCTCTCTCTCTATATATATATATATATATATATATATATATATATATATATATATATATATATAGACATATCTCGTCGAGATCTTATTAGAATACTCGCTCTATTTAATTCAAGTACACACTGTCCGGACCAGGGATTGAACTCACAGTTACTATGTCATCAAATTCAATAACCATCGCTTTAATCCTATAGACTATTGACCTGTTGGAAAACGTCGTGATAGTCATAACAAAGATGGCGGACAACAACCCGCTTGTCAATATTTTGTGTAATGATAAATCCTCATCCCAGAAAATCAGAAAGGAATTTACGTCCATTTTTTATGGTATGCGCAAAGTAGTATTTTTTTTAAAGTTACGTCTCTACAAAGCAGAAGTTAGCAAAAAAAAAAAAAAACTGGATAGATATTGAATTTGCGCTGTACAAATCGAAGTTTAGTAAATACCTGAGAAACGCAATTATGTTGGAATCGATACGAGGTCTGTCTAAGCGAGCAGGTAGCGTATTGTCGCCTGTAATTGCTTGCTAGTTACTTGCTTAGCCGGCTATCAATCTGTACAAAGTTGCGACGTGGACGGCCCGGAAAACAAGACACTGAGACCCCCCCAGCACAGGATCAGATTAGAATTGAGTATTAATGTTCTATCTAGGCTGTAGCTGCTCAGTCACTTTCCACCTTTGACAGGGCCCCAAAGCGTTCTGCTGCCTTGTGGATGTTGAATTATTTCCCAATATGAAAACGCTTTCCCGCTGCCGAAACGTTATTTCCCTATGGAATGTTTTGACGAGAGACATTCCATCATTCTCATTTTCATCATCCTTCGACCTCCTTTCGGTTAGTCGGAACTTCATTGACAATCCCTTTCCATACTGTTCGGTTATGCACCCCCAGATTCTCAAAGGCCAACCCTGAGTCCCGAGTTCTAGTGTCTGGGAGAGTGAATTTTCGTGCGAAAACATTTGCAGAAGGATGCCATAGGAGTAAAGATAAGACAATTTCCTTGTCTGCTCAGTAGATAGATAGATAGATAGATAGATAGATAGATAGATAGATAGATAAAAAAATATTAACAGCAATAAAAATCTTGTCGGCATTAAATAACCCATTGAGGTGTTGATATGTCGTAAAACAAAATAAATCAAATCAATATATACTGAGATAGATAGATAGATAGATAGATAGATAGATAGATAGATAGAAACAAACAAGAATAGATAGATAGATAGATAGATAGATAGATAGATAGATGGATATGAAGAGACTGTGATAGATAGATAGATAGATAGATAGATAGATAGATAGATAGATAGATAAAAAATATTACCAGCAATAAAAATCTTACGTTCGCCCATCGCCCAGTTTGTACTCCTTCCCGTTTCTTTTTAATCATTTCACCCCAAGCAAGGTAATAAAGCCGCTAAGACGCAAAGCGTTACTAAGCGTGAGAGAATATAAGAAAAAAAAAGCACTAATAAGGAGAGAAAACAATAAAAGAACACGGATTACGAAGACAGAAGATAACGATTGACATTGCATTTAAATTTTTGAACATCAAAGCTGACTGGAAAGCAAGAAGCCGGAAGAGATTTCCACAAGCGAGAAGTGCGAGAAAAGAAAAATGTTAGCATAGAACTTACGGTTATATATAGCATTTCAACTATAAAATGATGAAACCTTGCCGATTGTTCTGAGGATACAAGGCCCATTGGATAAAGGCGTTGGTTAGATTCAGTGATTAGACCCAAAGAGTTGTGAGTTCAATACCAGGCCACAGCAGTGGTAAACTAAAAAAAAAAACTTGGTGAACTGAGTTAAATGGAAATAAATGAGACATTTGGAAGAGGCATGACACGTGGAACTAGAACAATCTCTCTCGGCGGACGAAATAAAGGGTTCGATTTGAAATTCCAATACCCTGAAGAAGGTCGGAGCGTACAACGGCCGAAACGTTGTGAATATGGCATTGAAGATGAGAATAACAGTCCGAATAATGTAAATAATGCGAGTAATGAAAGAAACTAAGCAAAATAGTGTTTGTAATAAACCCCCACAATCATTAATTGTGGCAGAAAAATCAGTTAACTGGACGAAATTAATGCGGGACTATGTAATTAAGAATAGTCATTCGACCAAACACTTTACACAAATGCACACTCATCCAGACCAAATATTTACTCAAATGCACACGCATCAAGACCAAACACTCACTCAAATATATACTCATGCAGTCCAAACACTCACTCAAATGCACACACATCCAGGTCAAACAATAACTCAAATGTACACTCATGCAGACCAAACACTCACTCAAATGTACACTCATGCAGACCAAACATTCACTCGGATGTACATTCATCCAGACTAAACACTCACTCAAATGTAAACTCATGCAGACCCAACATTCACTCAAACACAATCGTCCAGACACAAAAATAGATCCGAAAGGCAAGGTCGAAAAGCGCCCCGCATTTAACTGACATCTCCGTCACCAAAAAGGAAATCTCACCAGAACAATAAGCATGAAAATATTTATAGAAAAAAGACAGGGAAGCTACGTTACGGCGATGGTCAAATGACTGAAGCCGAGATGATAGCTCAGGACCGATAACATTGCAGATTCTTCTTTGGATTTTATCAAGAATCTCTACATACGTAGCAGAAACACCAGCGTAGATGTGACAGCAATATTCAATGAATGGTGAACTTGTAAATGTGTAAGATAGATTATACCGAGAAAAATCTCTCTTGAACGACATAGTGGACCAATTTTCGTAGCAGCCGACTGAGCAATTGCTTCATTAAACCTGAATCTTCATTACATAACATTTCCTTTACAACAATATTTCGCCATTTACACCCAACCGGTCTGTGGTATGCGAATTCTGTCGTCGTACTACCGCTCGGCCCGAAAGGTGTACTCTAGATTGTCCATCTCCGGTGTGTGTGAGAGACTTCGAGACTGCCTTGGGAAGGTTGCTTATATATCCACATGTCCAACATTTTCGTTCACAGAGTTGCAATACTCGATGCAGGCGTGAGGTGACGTACTTCTACATATGGTGGCCGGCTGTAACTCCCAGATCAACCCTTTCGTCCACCCGGTTACTTTAATATCTGATGTGTGTCTTAGCCTACTGCGTCGCAATACCAAACCAATACAGTGCTCGAGAGTCACTCAATGTAGAGGGTTATTGTTAAAATGGTTATGATGAATGATGTGTGATATGAATGGAAGAGGAAATGGCAGGAAGGGAAGATTATGCAAATAAGGAGATAACGACTGAACCTTGACTTGGAAAGGTTAAGTTTGTCTGTTCAGAGGAGCATCCACGTAGGAGTCTGTTCCACAAAGTAGCTGTTTTTTTTTGGGGGGGGTGATTGTAGATGCGGAAAAGATGTTGTCTGAGTATCCCCGCAACATCAACGGCACATGGAGGACTAAATTGCGTGACTAAATTCTTCGAAAACGGCTTTCCCGACCTTTGAATAATTGACGACCCGACAGCAGGGAACGTACCGTTCAAGCTTCGGTTCTGCATTAACTTTGAAAACATAAGTATTGTGAAGGGTTATTTTTTGGCAGGATATTATATTACCCATGTCTGTTAGTCCCTACTCTTCCAGGTTAGGCTCCGTCTGCCTTCGAAGTATCGCCTAACAACATCAGATTACAGAGAATATTGTCTGACAACCTGACAATTTATTGAGTATTGTCTCAACACTTCAGATCGCACAGATGGGTAGTATCCCCCAAGCGAAATCAGTTGAGGGTAACCCTGTTGTCTTGGCTCTGTTCAACAATTTCCATCTCTCTGACCGCTATTTCAAAGGTATTCATAGTCAAAAACCACGCAACTACACGTATACATAAATAGCGTGACTTTAAGCAATTTGCTTTAATTACGCGGCGTTTAAAACAGATGTTTCACGTTAACGGATGCCTACCTTGTGAATCAAGCCACGCTGTTGAATATATTACACAAGCTTAATAAATATATTTTTCTAACTCTGGCACAGGGTCGAAAGGGGAGAAAAATGAG